TTTCTAGATGATATTCTTCTCACAATCAACTTTCAAATCCTGTACTATTTAGATCGGTAGTGTATTTGCAGAAAATAAATTAAAAATTCATTAATGATTAATTATACAATTAGATATTTATACGAAAAATTAATGTGTAAAATTAATCAATTAATAAAATTGTTGAAAAACGTGAGGAAGTCATGAAATTTCAAAATCATATGTCTGTAACAAATGTGGTACCCCTTTCTTGTTTTCTATTTACAAATAACATTATAATAATGCCTCCAAGTGAGGCAGCGCTATCTACATTGAAACTAAAATTTTGGAAAATTTCCAACAGCCTTTTCTTGAAAACAAGAAGGTAAAATGCTTTTTCCTTTATGGATAATTGATTATTGGCAATATATACACCAGCTAAAACTTTTTTTGAGTTAAAATAATGAAAAAAATTTCATGTCAATAAATTAAATATGAGCGCACTTTTTTCACAAAAACTGTAACAGTACTTTCTCAGAAATTACAATCAAAAATGCAATTTCCATTTGGAAAGTTAATAACCGCTAAAAAATACACCACCTAAGATTTAACAATCACGAAAATAACAAAAAAAATTTAATTAAATATTTAACATATTGATACTGTTTTACTGATTGTGACAACCCTTTGGTAGATTATGTATCTCAGGTGGTTAGCAACAGCACCAATCTTCTCCTTTCGGCTTTTTTTTTGTTATTTTCGTGATTGGTAAATCTTAGGTCGTGTATTTTTTAGCGTTTATTAATTTTCCAAATGGAAATTGCATTTTTGATTGTAATTTCTGAGAAAGTACTGTTACAGTTTTTGTGAAAAAAGTGCGCTCATATTTAATTTATTGACATGAAATTTTTTTCATTATTTTAACTCAAAAAAAGTTTTAGCTGGTGTATATATTGCCAATAATCAATTATCCATAAAGGAAAAAGCATTTTACCTTCTTGTTTTCAAGAAAAGGCTGTTGGAAATTTTCCAAAATTTTAGTTTCAATGTAGATAGCGCTGCCTCACTTGGACCTGGCCTTAAGCATCATCAAGCATTTATGACCGCTACAAAAATTATTAACTTTTTGTAGCAGTCATAAATAAAAAATATCTTTATATAAAATATAAATTTAAAATATCTTTAATTCATACATGAAATGTATGTAAATTAGAATTTATTCATACAATTTTTATTGTAAAATAATAAAGTTGCTAGAATTGATTTTAAAAACATGACAAATAGGTATTTGTAAAAAATTTTCTTTCTCAAAGATTCATAGAAATTTTAACAACTATAAATAATGTAAATGCTTCGTCATGTTCTTAGGCTTATTTTAAATTGAGTTTTCTACATAATTAACATAATTTTCATACGTTTACGTGTAATTTATTCTTAAGAAATGAAAGCATTTTAACTTGTAAAAAGAATCCAAAAAATTAAAATCATTTTCTAAACATAATATTTATTTAAATTAGGAATAATTTATATGAAGCAATTTACTTGTGAAATATAAATGATATTGAGTTTCTTACAATTTACAAAATAGTTTTTGGTATGAAAAAATCAAAAATAATTATTATGAGTATTATTGTATAAATATTATTATGCATAGTATTTTAATACAAATTTTACAGCTCGCATTTTTCAAGAAAAAAAGTTATTGCTTACGACCAATTGTCATTTTTGTAAAAAATTACTTCCAAAATAAACCTAGAAGCATTAAAAAGCGTTCACTATTTTAAAAGTTATTAAAATTTTTATATTTATGAAACTAAAGTTATAATTTATGGAGGATGAAAATTAATTATAATGCTTGCAAAATTAACCTGTGAAATGTTTGACCTACAAGATTTTTATATCAATTAATTACAAAATATTTAATTATTAAATTGAATAAAAACTTACCACTTATAAAGTAATGATGAATTTTCACATTATTTTAGCACTTTTATGTTTCACTTCATGAGCATTTACAAAATATTTTATTTGATACAACTGTCACTTTGTTAATTTTTCATATTCTTAAAAGTAATTAACTTCTTTATTGCCGATTAAAGAAAAAATTATAAACAAACAGACTATTTACGTAAATCAAGATTCGTGGTAGAGAATCGACGCCAAGAAATTTTTTCAAACAGCGAATCTATTTTCTTGAAATATCGGCATTATTCGACCAAAATTGGATATCTCGAAAAGTTCTTTATCGATTTCGTTTAAACTTTCTTGTCGAGTAAAAAATGTCAAAAAATATCTTCTTTAAAATAATTCTTATGTTTTTGATAAATTAAGAAAATTAGGCTGAAAAAACAAAAATTAATGATTTTTTAAATATTTGCTCACACCTGGAGCCTATAGTTCTTAACTGAATTGCCTGATACTCACGTATAATATCAATTGTGTAAAAATATCGATAAATTATTACGGATTCTTTAGTACACTGAATACATTTTAAAACTTAGTTTTTATAGTAAATATATCTATTTTTTAAATTTTTGACCCACTTGGAGCTCATTATTTTCTACCAATTCATGTATTTTCCAAAAATGCATTTTACGCAATGAAAAAAAAGTGACTACGTAAAAATGGCAACACTAAGTTAAACAAAATGATTAATTTATTATTACATATTATAAGTTATTATTATTATTTTAATTGAAATTAAACAAAAAGTATTGAAATCTCAACCAAACCATCTTCGATGCAAAAATTTACGGAAAGTAAAACTTATCTTAGTTCTTGAAACAATTTTAGAAATGCAAGTTAGCAAAGTAAAATGTATGGTTGTAGTTTAGATTTTAACAAACCGTATATTAAATTATATTTTTAAAGTATGCGTGTAATGAAAAAAATATAATAGAGTTTAATAATTCTTCAAATAATTAAAATTAAAATCGGATTTCTAATTTCACGCCAAGTTTTTCAATTTTTCCTATGAAATAAATTTTTATTAATTAGAAATCCGATTTAAATTTCAATTGTTTGAAGAATTATTAAACTCTATTACATTTTTCATTACACGCATATTTTAAAAATATAATTGAATATACGGTTTGTTCTAAACTATAACCATACATTTTACTTGGTTAACTTGCATTTCACAAATTGTTTCAAGAACAAAGATAATTTTTACTTGGCGTAATCTAAGATTTTTTTTATCAAGGATGTTTTGGTTGATTATAGTATTAAATAGAGACATATTTGACTTTTGGAGTTGAAGATTGTTGAAGTTTAAAAAATAATTTTATTTTAAAATAAAAAACATTTCCTCTCAAGTTAATATAAATGTAATTTTATTCAAAGTTGAAGTTACATAGAATCTAATTTTTAAAAAATTGCATATTATACTAACCGCAATATGAATGTAAAATTTTTAAGCTAGATTATTTTCAAAAAATCGAATTTTTTGAAATGAACACGGAAAGAAAAGGTATCCCTATTGAAAAAAACACGTATAATTATACGTATTATTATACGTATTATTATACGTACAATTATACGTATTATTATACGTATAATAAGACATACGAATTTGAAACAAGAATTATACGTATAATTATACGTATAATTGTACGTGTTTTTTTTCAATAGGGATATATTTTTGTTTATTAATATACTGCTCTGAGTTTCGATCCGATTAGTGAAGAAGCAGCCGAATGCCAGAGTAATTAGTGAAATTGAAATTCCAGTTATAACTTTTTTTTCATTTTCGCGATTTTTTTTTGAGAAAAATTTCAGCAAAAAAAATTTAAAGGACAATATCTTTTATTAATTTAAGTCTTCTGAATGTGATGGTACGGTTCATTTTGCTATTTTTTAAGTGTTTTAAAAGTTATTGTGCTTTTGTCTTAATACATACACTTGGGGCGAGATCACCATCACGCATTATATAAGTCTTTATTTAATTTTTAATTATTATTAATGAAAGATTTCATTTTATATAACAAATTTGTGGTCAGAAAGCCCAAAAGCAATTTTGATCCTAATAATTAAAGCGACAATCTCTGAAAATTGCAAAAAATTTTGATTAATTTTTAATTTTTAATTATAAAAGATTTAATTTTCTATAATAAATTTAGTGTTATAAAATAGTTCTAATTTGTATTTATTTTATGTTTTCCAATGATTGTTTAATCATTTTTTAATTTTTACTACAAAAAAAACATAAGTGGTGATCTCGCCCCAAGTATTGGGGCGAGATCACCCCGTGCAATGGTAACGTAGATTGGCTGTTGCTCGAAATAATGAAGAGACCGGAACTTGCATCAATGGAGTAAAATGTAGCCAAAGAGTCTATCTTTCAAACCTTTTTTGGTTTTTGTCTTTATCGGATCGTGGATGGGAAATATAGTTCAAAAACTGAAAAAGTGGTGATCTCGCCACACTCTACCCTATTTCTGAACAAAAGACAAAAACAAATGAATTTTCAGACGAAAAGGTTATATTTCTAAAATGACTGCTAAAAATTCTATAGAACAATCTATAGAACAAAAGAAAATGTAAATAGTATTCTAACGGAAAAAAACACCACTTTCGCATGAACGAGAAAAAAATCCTTATTTATCGGTAACTGTAATAAAAAAAAATCAAAATCTATCACTTCGGTTTTGAAAAAAAACACTTTTCAGAAATAGTTTTAATTTTTCAATTAATTTCATTGGAAATACTTTATTTTTTATTACATATTCGAAATATTTACGAAAAAAAGAATAATTACCATATATTATGGAGTCATATTTTTTAAAAGCATCAAACTTTAAAAATTCATAATTTTCATCATTTTCATCAAAATACAAAATAAAAAAACATGTATTTCTTTATTTTTCATATCGATTCCGGAAAAAATTATTTCCATAAAAAAAAGTTGTTACTTAAAATCTGAAAAAGAATGCCACATGTAATACTTACCTCAATGCTTGTGTTTCAAAAGTGAATTTTTCTTCTCCTTTAATAGATAATTTCTTACCCAATAACCTGCTATTTCAAATTGCAGATACACACCTATGGATTTACAGAACGAAAATGAAAATGAAGGTGAAGAAGTAGAAGACGAAAGTAACATGGAAGGAAATATTAATCAAGATTTAAATTTTGAAGATGATGATGACAATAGAAGTATAAATTATGATGCAGATGTAGAGGCACAGGATAATGAAGATGAAGATGATGAAGATGAAAATGAAGAAGAAGAAGAAGAAGAAGAAGAAGAAGAAGAAGAAGAAGAAGATGCTTATAATGATAATAATGAGGAAGAAGTGGTAGACGAAGAAGAGTTAGAAGCAGAAGAAGAAGAAGAAGTAGAAGAAGAAGAGGTTGAAAATGAAGAACAAGAAAGAGGAGAAGATATTGAAATTGAAGATGATCAATTAAGAGAAAGACCAGAAATTCCTGATGTAGAAAATATGAGGGTAGAAGAAGAACAACAGCAAGACAGAGAACAACAGCAAGAAGTAGCAGAACAACAAGAACAGGGGCAAGAAAACAATGAAGATATTGACGTGGGGACAGATGAGGAAGTAGAAAGAAATGATCGTCCGGAAAGAACTTTATTTCAAGGACTTAGAATTGTCGGAATGAGAGCACCTTTAAGACACAGTGAAAACTTAAGAGCAATCGATCATTGCCTTGTTGCTTTAGCTCAATCTTTAAAAAATCACACTACATATCAGGCCCTATTAGATCATTTAAAATGGATTAAAAATTCGTTTCAATTCATTAATATTCCAACAAACAAAAAATCGCTATGGAAAATGTTAGGAAGAAATAAATCACATCTGATATACCGTTTATATTGTGCAGCTTGCCACGACAAAATCGGTAATAGCAAAAGAGTTATTAAAAATTGCACTTGCGGTAAATGTGGCCCTACAATGGATAGAACAAATGTAGCAACATTTATTCAAGTTAAATTGTATCCGCAGTTACGTGATATTCTGAGAACTCCCAATATAGCAGATAAACTGCAATACAAACAAAGCAGAATAAAAAGAGATATACATGCAATAGAAGATGTTTTTGATAGTTCGGGATATGTAAATTTAAGCAGACGAGGAAAATTTTTGCACAATAATTTTAATTTAACCTTAACATTATGGACAGACGGAATGAAATTGACAAAATCTTCTCGAGCAACTACATATCCAATTGTATTTCAGATAAACGAGTTGTCACCTCATGCTCGCAAAAACCATCTACTCTTAGCTGGAATATGGATTGCTAATGAGGAGCCTTTGATACAAAATATTTTCCGGCCTACTATCCTAGAACTTGCTGATTTATACAACGAAGGAATCCGTTGGACACCCAATGGTCAAAATGAAGTGACAAGCAAGGTGATTGTTACCGTCTTTACTGCTGATTCTGTCGCAAGACCAAAAGTTTTGCGTATGAAGCAGTATAACGGTAAATTTGGGTGCTCATTCTGCTACGCTCCAGGTGAAAGAATAGAGAGAAAAAGGGTATATCCTGCTAGACACCATGCCTTAAGAACTCATGCAGAAATAATTACGCATTCTCGGGAAGCAATAACGTCAGGAAATCCAGTTAAGGGGGTCAAAGGATTTTCAAGCCTTGCATATCTCCCTCTATTCGACCTTGCAAGAAATGTACCAGTTGATAGCTGCCATGCGGTATTTCTTGGAGTAGCAAAAGAAATGCAGAGTAATTTCATGGAAGATACAGGTATGAATTTTAATTCTTGTAATAGAAGGGGTATCTTGTCTTGATACTTTCATTAAATTATACAATAAACTAGACTATTATCGATGTTAAATGCTTCTTTTCACTTCTCGTTTTTCATTTAATTTATTTAATCTTTCCACAGGTAGAGAGTATTACATTGGATCACCTACAGATTTAAGTACTATCAATTCACGGCTTTTAAAAATTAAGCCCCCTACGCGAATCTCACGTCAACCTCGTGAAATCAAAACTTATAAAATTTGGAAGGCTTCAGAGTGGAGAAATTGGCTATTATATTATGCTCTTCCTTGTCTTGATGGACTTTTAGGGAGACGCTACTTTCAACACTTGACAAAATTGTGCAAAGCTATGTTTATTTTGCATAGCTCATCAATTCTTCCAGCGGAACTTGATCTGGCAAAACGTTTATTAAATCAATTCGTGAGGGAGTATCAAAATTTATATGCCATAGAAAACATGAAATTCAACATCCATTTGTTACTCCACTGCGTTGATTCTGTTAAAAGATGGGGGCCATTGTGGGTCTATTCTGCTTTTCCTTTCGAAGCCTTTAATAGAAAAATTTTAGATTCTGTTACAAGTCCTTATGAACGAGGTGATCAAATAATAACCCGATTTTTTTTGAAAAATTTTTTAATAAACGCTATTAATGATGTGCCTATCGCAAATGAAACTAGACAAGAAATTGAACGCCTCCTAGGGATTCACGTCCATCAAATACCAGAAGAAATGGTAGAAGGTCGTTATTTTGTCGGTGTTGGAAAGGCAACTGTTAGAAGACCCACAGAGGAAGAAATTCGCGTAATGCAAGCTGCAGGTAAAATAATCGATCCCGCAACTAATATGCATACGTATAAAAAATGTATAATAAACGGAACTAATTATGAAATTTATAGTAGGTCTGCCGCTAAGAAAAAAAGTTGCGATTACGTGGTATATGGTAGACACGGATTTCTACTAATAGACACTATATTGTCATACACCCGCAATAATATAGTATCATCAGGCGTTTTAGGTAAAAAAATAAACAACTTGAGAGAGGCATTTAATTCTCGTCACATAAGACATGTACGTATGACAGAATCGAGAGCATTTTTCCCATTTGAAAACATTTTTATGCCAGCAATAATAATAAAATCAGGAAACAATCTCTTTTCAACACCGCTATGCAACATTTGGGAAACGGATTAGCGTAGCTTCGGAAAATACAAATATTAAAATAGTACTAATAGCAGTTCGTAAATAATAAAATTTTTTGGATCTTTTCAAAGTATAAACATTATTTTTGCACAGTAAATTTGAAATCCCTGAAAATAACTAAGTGTTAGTAAACATTTTATACATCTTTTAATTAGATCCTGTAAAGTAATTAATATAAATATAATAAAATAGTTAATACAAGTGTACTAAAAATTGTATGTGTCAAAACTTATATAAACTCATGAAACTGAAAATAAACCATTTTACACTATATTGTAGCTTTCTACATTACAATAATATTATACATTATAATATTAATAAAGTAAAAGAAATTGAAATAAAATTTATATTTTATTTGAATTCCGGAAACGATTATAATAAATCATTCAAACATTTTATAACCCAATTTTTATTTATTTTATTAATATTATCGTAATATTGCTCGGTAATATTAACTTCAGGTGGACATTTTAATATGACTGTAATATTACTTGCTACTTGAGAATCAAACAGTGTACATATGTATAAAAAATTTAAAATGCAAAGTATAATTTTAAAAAATTACAGAATTGATCTTCATTGTCATATCTGAAATAAAATGTAAAATAATAAAATAGCATACTAAATGAAATGAAAGTTTTAAATCTTGATAGTTTACCGTATAATAAGAGCTGGTGAATGTAATTTGTAGCCAGAAAGACTCAAAAGCAAAAAGAAGTATATTCGACTGCACTGCACAGTATAGGGCAACATATCGTTTCAATATGTCTTGATAGCGAAATAAAATTTTCTTACAGAAAAAATTACTTATCTTAATATTAAACTTTACTAACTTTAAAGAATTTTCAAAATTTAAAATTAAATTATATTTTTTTAAAAATTGTAAAAAATTATGTACCTCTTGCCTGCTAATTTTAAATGGAGTTTCGGAGGAAACTCCGAAATTGTAGGACTCGAATCTAATTTATTTTTCAATGCCTGCACAATATATTTTTGACCTTGCAAATTGAATTTTTTAAATTACTTGCAACGAAAAAAGAATTGTTTTGAGAGTTGAAAAAATTACAATAAAATATCATAAAACCGATATATTCAAGTAAATCATACTTACTTTTTGTTGATTATTTTAAAGAGTCGCTAATTTAGTGATATAATTTGAATATTATATTGAATAAAAAGAAACACAAAATGGAGTTGTAGACTTTTTTTTATTTTTATTTTTTCAAATCAAAACGATTTATAATTTCTTAATTAAAATTATCGAAAAAGATAAATAACTGAAAATAAATTATGTTAAAATAAACAAGGGAGCGTTCACATATGACGTCACGCTCGAGGGGGTAGGGGCGGTCTTCACAAAACGTGACACAATGTATTTTTTTCATAAGAAAATATAGTAAAATAGCGTGACAGGGGGGAGGGAGGGGGTCAAAAATCTTGAAAATGTGCGTGACATCATACGTGAACGCTCCCCAATTAATTTAGATTAATTCGTCTGTCAAAGATATAATTGAATGGTTCATAGGAAAACCGGCAAAGTTTAGAGGGACTAAACTTTTATTTCTCCGCATAATTAAATTAATAAAAGATACAAATTATAAACATAACCTCAATTTTTTCGCAAAATATACTCTCAATTATTATAACACTAGCAAAGTTGCGCGCCTATCATGTTTCACGTTTCACGTTAATATATTAATGTTATCACGTCTTTAAATCATTATATCAACTTAGAAATGATAAATTTATTCATATTCTTTGTAAATTTCAATCATTATTTTGTATTTTTATGCTAAATTCAGGTCGGTGAAGTTCACATCGATTATGATCATCGAAAATTTAAAATCCAATTTACTCCATAAACACAACAAAAACTTACATAAAACTTCAAAAAAAGATTATACTTAACAAAAAAATTCAGTTCCACCCCAATTTCATTAAAAAAAACACCCCTAGTATAACCCCCTATAATGACACATTGAAAAAAAATTCCCAAAAAATTCAATTTTTCTTAGGCTCATAATTTTATTTCAAATTCTTTCACTAAACACACCTAAAAGTGTTGAAAAAAATTGGCATTCCAAAAAAAGTGGGGCAAAGTCCCCAAAACCTACCCTAAAGACCCCATCTTTCATAAAAAAAAATTCCCAAAAAATTTAATTTTTCTTAGGCTCACAATTTTATTGCAAATTCTTGCACTAAACACACCTAAAAGTGTTGAAAAATATTGACACCTTAAAAAAAGTGGGGAAAGTCCCCAAAACCTACCCTAAAGACCCCATCTTTGATAAAAAATTTCCCAAAAAATTCAATTTTTCTTAGGCTCACAATTTTATTGAAAATTCTTGCACTAAACACACCTAAAAGTGTTGAAAAATATTGACACCCCAAAAAAAGTGGGGAAAGTCCCCAAAACCTACCCTAAAGACCCCATCTTTGATAAAAAAATTCCCAAAAAATTCAATTTTTCTTAGGCTCACAATTTTATTGAAAATTCTTGCACTAAACACACCTAAAAGTGTTGAAAAATATTGACACCCCAAAAAAAGTGGGGAAAGTCCCCAAAACCTACCCTAAAGACCCCATCTTTGATAAAAAAATTCCCAAAAAATTCAATTTTTCTTAGGCTCACAATTTTATTGAAAATTCTTGCACTAAACACACCTAAAAGTGTTGAAAAATATTGACACCCCAAAAAAAGTGGGGAAAGTCCCCAAAACCTACCCTAAAGACCCCATCTTTGATAAAAAAATTCCCAAAAAATTCAATTTTTCTTAGGCTCACAATTTTATTGAAAATTCTTGCACTAAACACACCTAAAAGTGTTGAAAAATATTGACACCCCAAAAAAAGTGGGGAAAGTCCCCAAAACCTACCCTAAAGACCCCATCTTTGATAAAAAAATTCCCAAAAAATTCAATTTTTCTTAGGCTCACAATTTTATTGAAAATTCTTGCACCAAAGACACCTAAAAGTTTTGAAAAAAATTGACACCCAATACAAGTAGGGGAAAACGTACTTAAAGTACCCAACGTTTATGAAAAAGAAAAATTTTTTTTTAATAAATGAAATTTTTTTTATCAAATACCAATATTTATTGCAAAAAAGACATTCTTAAAATACATTTTCTCCCCAAATTTAACTTAAAACAATTTTCAACCCTTAAACTTTAAAAAATCGAAAAAAAAAAAAAAAATTCGCTATTTCAAAAGAATAGCTGGGACCAAAAATTTGATTGTTCAGATACCTTCAGTAATGTGTCCAGTGATCGTAAAAAAATTTGCACCCTAATCGAAATCCGTGTTTTAGAGATTTTAAACCCTCAAACTTAAAAAAAGTCGAAAAAAATTCGCTATTTCGAAAAAATAGCCGGGACCAAGAATTTTATTGTTTAGATGTCGTCTATGACATGTCTACTAACTGTAAAAAAAGTTGCACTTTACCCCTTCACAGTGTAGCAGAAATAAAGCTTCCGTGCCCCGTATGTGGTAAAAAAAATTTAAAAAAAAAAACTTGATGTTACCATACCTAAGAATACCCATTGACAAGTTTATCGTATTGTGTCTACTTATTTTTTTCTAGATGCTACTATAGCGGTCATACACACTGGTGGCACGATATTTTTATGCCTCTATAGAGGTCCATAACAGTGAAGGGGTTAAATCGGAATTTGGGTTGAATGTGCACGCACACATATGTCAGAGTCAGTATGAACCGAGTGTATAGAAGCAGAGATATTTCCTTGCAGGCGAGATTTACTTTGGCTGGGACTCGTGTAGTACAGACGGGGATATTCGGTTGCGTCCGGCATACTTCGTCTACGCTCGGCGCTAGCCCCGCCACATTCACCTTCAATGCTCTGGCGAAAGTCGACTGTAAACCGTTTCTTGCATTTCTCGACTAATTTCGTTCTCTCTCCACTCGTCAACAATTTTAGCAATTTTTGCTAGCACGGCGGTTTAAATGTAACACCATTTTTTTTTAATATTTATCTAATAACATAAATTTTTCTGTTAAGAAAATTAATTTTTTTATTAAAAAAAATTTATTTAAAAAAAAAGTTTTTTTTAAAAAATGTTATATCAAAGTACAAGTTATATTTGTGACCGTCCACGACAAAACAAGGCTTAGCTCCCAAATAATAAATTTTGAGTTTTTGATGCTATTCAATAGATTTTAAGTTGCTCTTTCACATGCAAAAGTCAGAAATTGTTTATGTCAATTACTTTTGACACTATAATGTTTTAAAGACGGACATGTCAAGCGTGTTCCTTGTTTCTGCTTCTACTTCAATCGCTTGCCCTGTGAAATTTACTTTTGGGAGCTAAGCCTTGTTTTGTCGTGGACGGTCACATTTTGTTAGAAAAAAATCCGGAAAATCTGCTTTTTTACCACAGAGAAGTCACAGTAGACTTGAGGGGCTGATAGTAAAAATGGTTTAAAATAACATTGGGAGCAAAAGTGGGATAAGTGACTTGGGAGCAAAAACGGGTTAAAATGATTCGTGTAATTTATTGATAAATTCATTATATTATCGATTAAAAAATATTAACAATAGGAAAAAATGCATATTTTATTATAATTAATATTTTTTAATCGATAATATAATGAATTTATCAATAAATTACACGAATCATTTTAACCCGTTTTTGCTCCCAAGTCACTTATCCCACTTTTGCTCCCAATGTTATTTTAAATCATTTTTACTATCAGCCTCTCACTTCTCCCTTAAATATTTAGCTAAAATTAAATAATGTTTTTTGGTTGAATAAATCATTTTTTAATTAACAAAAAAATTTTTTATTAAGAGAAAGAGAGATAAGAGTCTTTGTTGTCCAAGTTGTACTTGAGAAAGTGTAACTTTGAGAAAAAAAATTTTTCTTTTAATAAAAAAACTTTTTTTTAAATAAATTTTTTTTTAATAAAAAAATTAATTTTCTTAACAAAAAAATTTATGTTATTAGATAAATATTTAAAAAAAAATGGTGTTACATTTAAACCGCCGTGCTAGCAAAAATTGCTAAAATTGTTGACGAGTGGAGAGAGAACGAAATTAGTCGAGAAATGCAAGAAACGGTTTAGAGTCGACTTTCG